GAACTGTGTAGGTCCACTTATACATGGCTTTTCTTCTGCCTCTGCCACCCCTGAGACAGCAAAACCCATCTCTCCTCTCCCTCCTCCTCAGTCTACTCTAAGTGAAAACATCAAGGGTGAAGACATCAAGGATAAAGACCTTTATTATCTACTTCCATTTAATGAAGAGTAAATATTATTTTCTCTTCCTTATGATTTTCTTTACATTTTCTTTTCTCTAGCTTACTTTATTGTAAGAATACAGCATATAATACATGTAACATACAAAGTATATGTTATGGCTGTTTATGTTATTGGTAAGGCTTCTGGTCAATAGTAGGCTATTACCGTGTTTCCCCGAAAATAAGACAGGGTCTTATATTTATTTTTCCTCAAGACGACACCCTAGGGCTTATTTTCAGGGGATGTGGTATTTTTTTTAAGTACAGTACAACAATCTACATTTATTCAAATATAGTTAAGTCATCTTCTTCTGGAACATCATCATAACTCTCCAAACCCTGAATTCCATCCTGAATTTCTTGCAACTCTATTTCCTTTAGAACCACTGGCCCCAATCTCTCATGTCGAGCAATAGAGCTCTCATGGGGCAGATGAGAAGGGTTGCTGGGCTTCTTACTGCTCTGCGAGGAAATGCACAGGTTGTGCAGATACGTTGTTGCGTAGCCATGCCCATCACTAGGTCTTATTTTCGGGTTAGGGCTTATATTATGTAAATGCTTAGAAACCCTGCTAGGGCTTATTTTATGTAGGTCTTATTTTCGGGGAAACATGGTAGTAGCTAAGTTTTGAGGGTGTCAAAAGTTATATGTGGATTTCTGACCATATGGAGGAGCCAGGCCCCTAATCCTCACATTGCTCAAGGGTCAATTCTATTCATTATTGCATGGGCAACAGTCTTAACAGCCTCAATACATGGATTACCCCAAGTGTTTTTGAATCCTGGACCTGTAGATTCACAACATTCCATGGAGAAAGCCTGACAAGAGCTGTGGTATGAATCCAAATAGCTCTAGCCACAGTAGCTCACATAGACCTGGCTTCTTCCAGGACCCACTTCCAGGTATCTGCACATACCAAAGCAGTGTATGTAGCAGAATACTTAACAGCACACAGACCTAGCCTAGAATTTAGGCACTACCATTTTCAGTTGTGTTGTTATAGGGTAGCTATCTATACTCAGCGAGGTTGAATTCCCTTATCCGTAAAATGGGAATAATGGTACCTCCCATTATTGGTAGTTGTGAGAACTACCAATGGTGGTTGTGAAAACCTAGTTCATCAATGTACACACTTAACACAGTGCATGACACATTTTAAATGCTGAGTGAATGTTCTAAGTTATTATTATTACCTCCATTCCCCTTTCCTGGTGTTTCCTTTCTCTCCCATCTAGATGACTATGACAGGACGTCATGCCAAGTTTCCCGACCACTGTTCTAGAAACCCAAAGCACAAAGTGTCTACTGAATACTTAAAATGTAGTTACTCCCAAATGACAAATGTGTTACAAGTCTAAAACACACACCAGATTTTGAAAATTTAGTACAAAAGGACTGTAAAATATTTCACTAATAATCTAACATGAATTACATATTGAAATATTTTGATATAATTGGTTAAATAAATATTACTAAAATTAATATCACCTTTTTTTTTTTACTTTTTAAAAATGTGACTCCCAGGAAATTTTAAACTACATATGTGGGTCACATGATACAGACAGTCCTATGTATCCATGGGCTCCACATCTGTAGATTCAACGAACTGCAGATTGAAAAAAAAATTGCATTTGTACTGATCATGTACACTTTTGTCATTATTTCCTGTAACAATTCAGTAACAAACTATTTACATAGCATTTACACTGTATTAGGTATTATAAGTAATCTTATTATCTACATAGAATATATGCGAGTACTACACTATTTTATATGAGGGAGTTGAGCATCCATGGATTTGGGTATCTGAGGGGATTCCTGAAACCAATCCTCCACGAATACTGAAGAACTGTATATATTTCTATTGAATACTGCTGGTCTAAATGGACTAAGTTCCATGCAGTACAAGTTCCTTTCCACAATCAGTAGTTCAGTTTACCCAGTCAACCTGTCATTGCTTCCAAAAATCTTGACCCAAAGAATAAGGAAGCTTAAACACAGCCTAGTCCTAACAGTCACCTCACACCTGAATCTACTTACAAAATCCACCCAATAGTTATCCACCACACTCAAATCCTTCCAATGACAAGAAACTCACCAACTCCCAAAGCAGCAACCCTTTTTACCTTTGGATAACCTTTGAAAATTAGACAGTTATTCCTTATACTCCTGAAGAGCTACCTTTCCAGAGAGCTGATCTAACTAACCTTACCCCTTTGAGTCATTTTAAAAAGGCTCAAGAATAGGAAAACACACCATTTGCACATCACTTACAAGGTACTGTTGTAAGCTTTAGTTTATTGTAGCATTTAACCCTCATAGCAAGGGAAGCCATGGGTTACTGCTGTTATTTTCATTTCATAATGGGTTCTCTAGGGCTCAGAGCAATTATGTGATCTGGGTAGGGTACCAATCAGGAAGGGGTAGATTTCAACCCAGAGCTGGCTGACTTCTAAATACTTTCATTCAACATTGCTTTTGTGGTTATGTTCTCAACATTTCCTTCTCTCCTGGTCATCTAGGCTATTACCAGCAATAGGCTCAATCCAGAAACAATCCTTCCCTGGCCAGAGTTGCCCTTACCTGTCTCAGCAGCCCCAAGGATGTCCAGCTTGTCACGGATGGCAGGTGCCAAGGTCAGGGCTTGAATTGGTGTGGGAGCAGAGAAGCCTAGAAAGCTGAGTGCTCGGAGAACTGGCTTGGGCACAAATAGGTCCTTCCAAGCTGATACATCTGCCTTCTGGTCATTAACATTAGGCATCCATGTCTTTGCTTTTTTGGGCACCTTACCAGAAGTGCTCTGGGAAGGCTCCGGTTTTTTTCCCCCTTTCTTTTTCTTCTTTTTTGGAGCAGTCTGGGCCAGGTTTTCTAATGCCATCTCCCCTACCTCTGGATCAGGACTAACAGTGCCATCTCCCTGGGGATCTGGCTCAGCATCTTTGATTTCAAACTCTTTTTGGGCACTGGTTCCTTCAGAGGCCACATCTTTACTCTTCTTTAACTTGATCTTTTTCTTTGGGGAGCTAGACTCTCCTTCCTCCTCTTCTTCTGAAACAGCTTGTGCCTTTCTCTTCTTGGGCTCCTCCTTTGAGAAGAGACTGGAGGAATTCTTGGCAGAGGAGACCAACCGATAATTTGTCAGTTCCTCAAAGCACACCAAGTCATCCATCTGTCCATCTGCAAACATACTTGGGTCAATCTTTACCTGCTTCCATTTTCCCACAACTTTGATTCCCTTTGTTTGAAATTTGCCATAGCTTGGTGGCTTTGGCTTCGCCTCTTTCATCTTCATGGTTGCTGAAAAGAAAAGGAGAGAAATGTTCTATTAGGTTGGTGACTGAGAAGCAAAGGGTTCTGTTGCAACAAATATTTTCTAAGTAATCTAACAAGTACCAGGTCCTGCAAAGAACTGAGGGCATAAAGATGGCTGTAACACAGATGCGCCCAGCTACAGAAGATCAAAGACACAGCACAGAACAGGCATCTTTAGCTGGAACAGAAGGTACACAGGAGATGGAACAAAGATAAATGACCCAGACCTGGTTTGAACCCCATATTCAACACTTCCTGTGTGTGTGTTCTTGGACAGTGCTATTCACTCCTCTATGAACTTCAGTGCTCTCTCATCTATAAAAAAAAGGGGGGAGGGGGCCTAATAATATCTAAGCTTCACGTTTGGGGAAGAGAAATAAAATTATGTAAAACATGGATGAAGCTTGCCACACATAAGCCATTTTGAAGGCAGAATAAGAAGAGGAGGGTTTTGGGGGGAGGGAGGGGGAGAGGGGAGGGGTGAGCTTTATTAAAATTTACTGAGCTTTCTTCCTTCTCAAGCCTTTCCCCAAGAGGACACATGCCTTTTCCACCATTCTGGCCTTTGCCAAATGGCTTAAAACTCATCCATTTTTTCCATCACATTTTAAGTGATTTAAAGACCATTTAGGCGCAACCCGTTTGGGTGGAACTCGATCCATGTTCTCCCTTTTCAGAAAGACCAAGAAAGATAACAGAGTCTGTGGAAAAGGCAAGGGCAAAACCTCAGTTCAAATCCGGACCCGCCACTTGCCAGCTCTGGGTCGGCGGTGAACCCATAAATCTCTGTGAGCCTCACTTTCCTCGCCTGCAAAATGGGGATAATGAGGACATCTGTCCCACAGGATCGTTATGCCAACACGAAAGGGTGACGCACGTCCAAAACCACGTAGCATGGCGCCCGGCGAGGGGAGCGCGTCAGCACACAGCGAGGGTTCGCCCCCCGACAGGCAGCGCCACGACGACAACCGGGACCGACGCTGAGAAGCGGGCGGGAGCGTCACCGGCACGGAGGCCAGGACGCGGAGAGCGACCTGCACAGCAAGCAAGGGCCTCCTCCGTGGCGCCAGTCCCGTGACCGGCGCTCCCGCTTCGCCTCAGGCAGGAACCGGCGCGCGAAGCCGAGAGGCTGAGGCCGCCAGGCCTTGCCGCCCGCACAGGGGGCCCAGGACGCGGGAACCGTGGCACGAAGCTGGACGGGGTGGCCGCCCTCTCTGGACCCGGGGAGCCCAGCAGCCCAGAGAAACCAGCGACGAGAGCCCGGGGTCCGCCCCCAACCCCTGTTCGGAGGCGGCTCCAGCTCCGCTCCAGTTTTGGTACTCACTGTGTGGCGACGCCGCTACGGCTCCCTCAGACACAGCACAACCGTCTCACAAACCGCCACAGTCCCTCGGCTGCAGCGTCGACCGCAGTTCCGGGGCGGGACCACGTACGGGAGTGGGGGGGGGCGTGCGCACTACCGCAGGAAGTCCCGCCCCCGTAGAAAACGCCGCTATCTGATTGGCTGAGGCGCGGTGTACCGCAGTGCGGGTTGAAGAGCAGGGTTGGAGCGTGGGCCCGGCTTCTCCCGTGCTGCTCTTCCAGGCCTTAGGCGAGGGCTGAGCCGCGGGCCAAGCCTATGCCGCTGTGCTCCGGCCGAAAGACTGCCAGCTCGTGCACGGCAACGCAAGTTTTCCTGTATTCTTGGTCTAGTTTTAGTGCGGTAGCTGTCCATGTATTGTGTACCGGAACTTTGCTCCCGTTTTCGCGTTTACCTCACAACTCAACCAGCCTGTACTGGAGGTGCATATTTCCCCCAGTTTTTTGTTGTCTCGCCTCTTACACACCGAAGGATGGAGTGGTCGCCTGACTCCTAAACGCCAGCTTTATTGGCCAAGCTAAACTGTTTGCAGAGAAATCAGCTTCACAATAGATAGTTAACCTTTCGATGTGTATATCACTGGAGTACCTGGGGAAACCTTTCTCATATATTGTTTTCTGTGTCCTAAAACCTTGGGAATCACCCAGCTTAGGGCAAATGAGTGCCCTCTACCCTGCCCCTCCCTTGAAGCCACCATGGCACGGAGCTTAACTCATTTCTTGTGGTAGAGGGCTTGCCGGTGTGTCCCCAAGAGTTTGAGTGGCATAGAGCCTGTGCCCAGCTGGTGCCTGAAGAAGTCTGGTAACAAGAGACTGTCCCTGATGGCAGAGTGAGAAGGAAGGGCTGCAGGTCCCTCCCTGGCAGGACAGAGCCTTGCCCAGCCGGGCTGTTTGCTGGGAAGAGGGATTCCACTGGAGAGAGGCTGGAAGTAAGGCCACTGAGGTGAGAATTGAGCGTGTTACCGGGTCAGAAGGGTGGGTGAGGAAATTCTCAGTGGGGGCCTCTGAAAAACTGACAAAATCGTCTGTGTTAATCAGGATTCTCCACAGAAACAGAACCAATAGGGAAGGTGTGTGTGTGTGGAGAGAGAGAGAGACACTGGTTTATTTAAGAAGTTGGCTCACATGACTGTGGGGGCTTGGCCAGTTCAAAATCAGATGGGGTAGACCAGCAGGCTCCAGACTCAGGGAAGAGCAGATGTTTTCCAAAGGAAGTCAGCTGGCAGAATTCCTTCGTGCTCAGGGGAGATCAGTATTTGATCTGTTAAGGCTTTCAATCCGCTGAATGAGGGCCCCCATATTATGGAGGATAATATGGGCCATGGACTGTGGCCATGGACTGTGACCCTGAAGGTACCCAAAGCAGCCATGTGGCAGGGAAGTAGATGAAAGAGAAGTGAGGAGCAGATCATCAAGGTACCCAAAGCAGCCATGTGGCAGGGAAGTAGATGAAAGAGAAGTGAGGAGCAGATCATCTCTCTCTTCCCAGCTCTTGATTTCAGAGCCTGGATTAGATCTAAACTAAGGAAAGGGAAGTTATAAATTGCCTGTGAGATGGATATTTCAGCTTCAGATTAGATAGTGTTTTTATTCATTATTTTTTTCATAATAAATTTTTTCCCTGATTTTGTGGATGAGATGTTAAATGGTATTCTTGGGCTGGGTACAGTGGCTCATGCCTGTAATCCCAGCAATTTGGGAGGCAAAGGCATGAGGATTGCTTGAGGCTAGTAGTTAGAGACCAGCCTAGACAATATAGCAAGACCCCTTCTCTACAAAAAATGTTTTTAAAAAATTAGCCAGGCATGGTGGCACATGCCTGTAGTCTCAGCTACTTGGAAGGCTGAGCCAGGAGGATTTCTTGAGCCCAGGAGTTTGAGATTGCAGTGAGCTATGATCGTGCCATTGTACTCTAGCCCAGGTGACAGAGTGAGATCCTGTCTCAAAAAAATAAATAAAATAAAACAAATTGATATTCTTTCTGAGTTAGTTTTATTGGAGGCACAAAAACTGAAAACAAAACAATAGGTACAAAGTTTCCCCACTCTCCAAACCAGAGTGCTTGGAGACTCTTAGACCTGGCAAGGACATTGTTTTAAAACCAGTGTTGTGACCCTTAGCTCAATACCCAGCTTCAAAGTATAAAAAGGTTGAAGTTGAAGAGGTTGGGAGAGAACATTTCCTATAGAACATAGTTTGAAATTCACGGCCAATGTTAAATAAAGTATAATTCAGGCTTGTAATTAGTTATGTCAACAAATATCTTTTTCAGAGTTCCAGAGCTTTCTCCATGGAATATAGCACTTTCAGTTCTGTATTAGATTCAGAGATTTATGTTCCTGTTTTATCTTTCCTCCTAGACTGCAGCTTCTCAAGAAATTCCCCTTGGATTCATCTTGGCATCCCCCAGAATGCCTAGTCGGTGCCTGGCTGACTTGATGGGTCATAGTTGTTTGTTGAATGAATGCATAAGTAAGCAGTTGACCTTAGTTTGAGGATAGGCTCTCTCCAGCATTTTTAGTTGAACCAAACACCAGAGGTAAGAGTACTGACCTTGCCATGTAGCATCTGTTGATAATTCATAGCAGCTTTATTTGTAATAGCCCCAAACTGAAAACAACCAAAATGTCCTGTAATAGGTAAATGGCAAACAAACTGTGGCACATCGATACTATAGACTACTACTTGGCAATAGAAAGGAATGAACTATTGATATACAGGCATACATTGTTTTATTGCACTTTGCTTTATCACACTTCACAGATAATGCATTTTTTACAAATTGAACATTGGTGACAACCCTGCATGGAGCAAGTCTATTGGCACCATTTTTCCAACAGCATTTGCTCACTTTGTGTCTCTGTGTCACATTTTGGTAATTTAGATAATAGTCAAACTTTTCCATTAATATTATATCTCTTATGATAATCCATGATCAATGATCTTTGACATTACTATTGTAATTGTGCCCATATGTGATGGCAAAGTTGATCGATAAATGTTGTGTGTGTTGTGACTGCTCTACCAACCAGACTTCCCCCTTCTCTCTTCCCCTCCTTGGCCCTTTGTATTTCCTGAGACACAATAATATTGAAATTAGGTCAGTTAACAACCCTATAATGGCCTCAAACTGTTCAAGTGAAAGGAGAAGTTGCACATCTCTCACTTTAAATCAAAAGCTACAAATGGTGAAGCTTAGTGAGGAAAGCATGTTGAAAGCTGAAATAGACTGAAAGGCCTCTTGCACCAAACAGGTAGCCAAGTTGTAAATGCAAAGGAGACGTTGTTAAACGAGATTAAAAATGCTAATTCAGTGAACACATGAAGGAGAAGAAAGTGGAATAGTACTGTTGCTGATATGAAGAAAATTTTAGTGGTCTGGAGAGAAAATCAAACCAGCCACAATGTTCTGTCTTTTTTTTTTCTTTTTATTTAATTTATCAGCCTCCAACAGATGCAAACACAATGTTCTCTTAAGCCAAAGCCTGATCCAGAGCAAGGCCCTACCTCTCTTCAATTCTTTGAAGGCTTAGAGAGGTGAGGAATCTGCAGAAGAATATTGAAGCTAGCAGAGATTGCTTCATGAATTTTAAGGAAAGAAGCCCTCTCCAGAACATAAAAGTGCAAGGTGAAGCAGCAAGTGCTGATGGAGAAGCTGCAGCAAGTTATCCAGAAGATCTAGCTAGATAATTTATAAAGGTGGGGGTACACTAAACAACAGATTTTCAAGGTAGTCAAAACAGCTTTATATTGGAAAGAGATGCCATCTAGGAAATTCCTAGCTAGAGAGGAAATGTCAATGCCTGGCTTCAAAGCATCAAAGGCCGGGCTGACTCTCTCATGAGGGGTTAACACAACTGGTAACTTTAAGTTGAAGCCAGTGCTCATTTATCATTACAAAAATCCTAAGGCCCTTAAGAATGATGCTTAAACCTACTCTTCCTATGCTCTATAAATGGAACAACAAAGCCTGGGTAATAGCACATCTGTTTACAGCATGGTTTGCTGAATATTTTAAGTCCACTCTTAAGACCTAGTGCTCAGAAAGATTCCTCTCAAAATATTACTGCTCATTGACAATGCGCCTGGTCACCTAAGAGCTCTGATGGAAGTATACAAGATTAATGTTGTTTTCATGTCTGCTAACACAGAATCTATCCTACAGTCCATAGATCAAGGAGTATCAATTATTGAGTATTACTATAAAGAAGTACATTTCATAAGGTCATAGCTGCCATAGATGGTGATTCTTCTGAGGGACCCGGGCAAGGTAAATGGAAAACCTTCTGGAAAGGATTCACCATTCTAGATGCCATAAGAACATTTGTGATTCATGGGAATTGGTCAAAATATCAACATTAAATAGAGTTTGGAAGGAGTTCATTCTAACTCTTATGAATGACTCTGAAGGGTTCAAAACTTCCCAGTGGTGGAAGTAACTACAGATATGGTGAGAATAGCCAGATAATTAGAATTGGAAGGGGAGCCTGATTATGTGACTGAATTGCTGTAATCTCATGATACAACTTGAACAGACAAGGGGTTGCTTCTGATGGATGAACAAAGAAAGTCATTTCTTGAAATGGAATCTACTCCTGGTGAAGCTGCTGTGAACATTGTTGAAGTGACAACAAAGGATTGAGAATATTACATAAACTTGGTTAGTGAAGCAGCGGCAGGGTTGGAGAGAACTGACTCCAATTTTGAAACAAGTTCTGTGGATAAAATGCCATCAAACAGCATCACATGCCACAGAGAAATCTTTTGTGAAAGGAAGAGTCAATTGATGTGGCAAACTTCATTTTTGTCTTATTTTAAGAAATTGCCACAGCCACTCCAACCTTTGGCAACCACCACTCTGATCAGTGAGTAGCTGTCAACATCAAGACAAGACCCCCATCAGCAAAATGATTACAACTCATTAAAGGCTCAGATGATTGTTAGCATATTTTGGCAATAAAATCTTTTTAAATTAAGATACATACTTTTTAAAAAACTTAATGCTATCACACAATAGACTACAGTATAACTTTTATATATGCCCTGAGAAACCAAAAAATTCCAGTGACCCACTTTGTTGCAATATTTGCTGTATTGCAGTGGTGGAACAGGACCCACAATATTGCCAAGGTATACCTGTATGCAATATCTTCAATGGATCTAGAGGGCAGTATGTTGAGTGAAAAAAAGTTCATCTCGAAAGGTCATATAATGTTGAAATGGCAAACTTATAGAGAAGGAGAGCATATCAGTGGTTTCCAGAGGTTATAGGGAGGAAGGCTTAGAGGGTAACTGTGACTACAAAGGAGCAGCACAAGGGAGTTCTTTGTGGTGATGAAATAGTTCTATCTCCTGGTTGCAATAATGATTACACATGTGCTCAAATGACATAGAACTATACACATATATAATACCAATGTCAATTTCCTGGCTTTTATATTATAATTACATAAGACATAATCAAAGAAGGAAACTGAATGAAGGGTAAACAGGACCTCTCTGTGCTAACTGCACAACTTCCTGTAAATCTATAATTACTTCAAAATAAAAAAGTTAAAGACTACATCATCCATGTTGTATTCTTATCATAAAACATTTAACCTGGATGTCACGAGGAAACAGTCAGACAAATTCAGATTGTGAACTATTCTACAAGACAACTGACAACTCTTCAACAAAGTCACGTGAAAAACAAAGTCTGGAGCACTGCTTTGGACCAAAGGAGAACAAAGAGAAATGACAACCAAATGAAGTGGATAATCTCTGATGGATCCTAGATGTATACATTTTTATAATATTGGTGTGTGTGTATATGTGTTTGTGTGTGTTTAGACACAAGGTCTCACTATGTTGCCCACGCTGGTCTCAAACTCCTGGCCTCAAGTGATCCTCCCACCTCAGCCTCCCAAAGTACTAGATTGCAGGCATGCACCACTGCACCTCGCCTTTAAAATAGTTTAAAATTTAAAAGTATGTAACTATTTTAATAGGAATAGAAGTGGAGCTTTTTTCAATTCATAAAATAATCAGGATCAAGACACTCAGTAAGGGGTGGGTCCAGTTGCCAATGGACTCTTTAGAAGCCTCCATTGCCAGTGGCTGGAGTAGATGTACTTGCAAATATGTAGATCTACTTTCCAAAAAGAAGAGTAGATGTGGGCTATGGAGGAATCTTCAATTTGGAGCAATTGGAACAGTTGAGCTTGTAAAACTCCCCAGTAAGAAAGTGACTCATCTAGCTAGGGAGTGATTTTAAGGAGGGTTGGGGTCTGGAATCAGATTGCCTGGACTCAAGTCTGAACTCTGAACATCAGCTGTGTGACTTTGGCAAATTATTTAATCTTCCTGAATCTGTTTCCTCATCTGTAAAATGAGAATAATAACAGTAAGCCTCAGAGGGTTGTTGGAAGGATTAAATGCAATGATAAATGTAAAGTGCTCACTGCAGTGCCTGGCATATGGCGAGCTCAGATCAACCTTAGCAACTCCTGTTGTTGTCATCACACACGTCCTTCTAATCATACACATCAATGAGGAGGAGCTCTTTGAAAAAGTAGAGAATTACAATACAAAATGCCAGTAGTGCTACAATGTCACCCCAAACCAGGGGAAGTATGGCAGAGGAAATTCAGGTCGAAAAGCAGTTAAAAGATAGCAGTCTTAATCAGTTGCTCTTAGAAGAACTTACTTTTGCAAAAAATAGTAATAATGATGATAATAATAATGTGAGCACATGGCTAGAGCTGTTCTCCCAGTCTTGGAAGGAGTCAGTGCAAGTGAGGGTCCCTGAACTCAGGTTTCTTTTGCTTCAGGGCAAACCCACCTCAGCCTTTGCCATTAGTGGCTACATAGAATTCTGTACAGGAAGGTATAAAATTGTATTTATTCGATTTTCTGTTATTTTAAACTTTTTCTATGTCACCCTAATTAACAGACAGAGGCTCTCTAAAAGAAAATGATATTTACTAGGGAACAGGATTGCAATGGGAAAATGTGTTCTGTGGCAAACTGTGTATTTGGAGGTAAAGGTAAACAAAGATTTTTAAAGAAAAAATAATTGTTTTGATATAATTATCCTTGCTATAAGTATAAATGATAAGGGTGACAGCAGTCCAAGGTTGCACAGGCAGTTGTTGGGCAATGTCCTTGTGGAAATATTTTGTGTATAGGTTGTGATGGCCTTTGTGCAAGGCTGTAGTTTTTGCAGAGTCTTTTGTGATAGTTTTGTTATTAGGCATACAAGTGTGAGAGCCATCTCTTCGTGGGCTTCCTCAGCTCTATTTCTCAGAGTTTTTGTTTTTTAAACACAAGTGACTCCATTTTGATTCTGATCACTTTCACAGCTGTTATCAAAAACATCATGATAATCATTCACGTGAAGACATTTTTGTGCACATCTCTGATTGTTTCTTTTTGATGAATTCCAAGAAGTAAAATTTCTGAGTCAAATGAGCTACATGTTGCCAAATTGTTGACCAGAAAGTATGGGTCAGAACACACTCAAGGCAGCAGGGAATGAGGATCCACCTTTCCATGCCC